AGCTGAGCCCAGCTAGCAAAGCAGACCGGGTCTGCTGAGCCTCAGCAAAGGTGTCAAGGTCATCAGAAGCCAGGGATGGACCAAGGGCTCAGGAGAACTGCTCCGGACCAAAAGGAAAATCAGAATTGTATTACAGAGACACTGAAAACAACGAATGCCATCTGAGAACAGCTTGTACCTACCTACATGATACTGTATGAAATAAACCAGTCACAAAAAGATACCATATGATTCCACTTATACAAGATACCGAGAATAATCTCATTCACAGAGACTGAAAATAGGGTGGTGGTTTCCAGGGGCTGGGGGAGGGGAAGTGGAGGCTGTCCTTTAACGGGCATAGAGTTTGTTTTGTAAGATGAAAGGTGTTCTGGAGACTGGTTGCACAACAACGTGAACGTACTTAACTCTACTGAACTGTGTGCTTAAAAATGGCTCAAATGGTAGATTTCATGTCATGGGTATTTTACTACAATCAAAAATAGAGAAAAAAAAAATCTCTGATCGTGTCAAGGCCAAAACAGATTTCATAAATGTAATCGATTCCCAAGCAATTATTTTTGTGTTGCTAGTTTAATAGTGGGTTATATCTTATATTCGTCTTCACAGAGGGGCAGAAGTGGGGTTGTGTGCCGGATTTTCATTTTCACTCTTTTCTCACTTAAGACGCTATCTCGTCTGAATTCCACGCCGGACATCACCACTCACCGGGCAGCCGCCACTGAATGGCAGGCATTGCAGAGTGTGGTTCTCCATCAGCTGTGCTGATATGGAAGGTGACAGAGAAGGAGGAGCCAGGCGTGACCCAGGTTTTTCGGGTGAGCTACCACCAGTGCAGGAGAGCCATTCACTGGGGGAGGGTTGGGGGAGGGAGGAGGCCGAGGAAGCTGGGCTCACCGAGTGTCTAGTTTGTGCCAGGCTCTGTGCTAGGCATTGTGCAGCCCTATTTCACTTGACCCTCGCCACAGCTGGAGAGGCTGGTGTCCTGGCCTCGCTCCTCAGATAATGAATCAGACCCTCCAGGGACTTCAGCAGCTCCCTCGGGGTCACGCCGCTAGTAAGTGATAAGAGGCAACCTTGAATCCAGGGTGTCCTTTTAACTACGCCAGTTGAGGACATGATGAGGTTTGCAATGCAGCGCAGGGACAGATGTTCAGGAGGCCGCGGTGAGCATGCTTCCGAAGATCCAAGGGAGAACCAGCCTGCAGGTAAGGGGGCTAAGACGCAAGGACGGGAGAGACAGGCTGGGAATAGATGAGCTTTCTCTCCTGCTGAGAGAAGAGAACCCTGAGGTTCACAGAAGATGAGTCAACAAAGGGGCCTGAGAAGGAGCATTCAGAGACAGGAAGGAAGTCAGGGGAGAGTGGTTTGTTAGGAAACAAAGGAGGAGAGGACTCAAAAGGACAGCGAAGCCACCCTTGTCACATGTCACACGGATTTCAAGGATGAGGCCTGAGAAGCAGCCGCTGCATTGGCAATCACCAGCCTGCAGAATTCCAGCTTAACTCCAGCACACCCTCGTCCTCTTTCCCTGGTAACTGTCCCCGAGCTCGGACTTGCCAGCTTTTAGCACACGTGTGGGATCCTGGTTCAGTGTCTGGACACGCCCACCAGGCTGTCAGCCCCGGGGACGGGCAGGGGCTACGTTTTGATCATTTCGATCGATCGTTCATCCCCCAGCACCTAGCACGATGCCTGGCGCAAAGTGAGTGCCCAATAATTATTTGTTGAAGGCCTGGCTGAAGCCAGCTCTGCGCCCTCCCTCAACTGTCAGGAAGTGCCATCCCTGCCCCCTCCCCACAGTCAGCAAAGTCAAGGGCCGTGAGGCCCTCTGCTCTCTGTGGCACCAGGTGACTGGTGGGCAGAGTTGCTTCGACAGCATTGCTAAACCGCCTCAAAGGCGGCATCTGACCTTGAGCTACCTTCCGTTCTGCTTGGCTAAGCACTGAGTCATTTACTTGTTTCTGCTGCCTTTCAACCCTGGAGCCGTGGGTTTAGCACAAAGGAAGACACGAGGGTTGTTTTATTTGTGGGGAATCGATTTCCCTTAAATAAGGATTTAAACTGCTAGTCTGCACTGCACGGTGGGAGGGCGTCGGGGCTTCGAGGAGCATGGTGGGGGCTTCCTGAATCAATGCCCAGGTCTCTCCAAGCCTTTGAAAAAAATGTTTTCCCCACAAACACTGACTGCGGGAGAAGGAGGATGGCCTGGAAGTCAGGAGACCAGGTGAGTCCCAAACGAGGCCCTAGCTGGCCATGGGGCCTTGGACAAGTCAGTCAACATGTTGTCACTCTTCCTGGGCATCTCTCCTCACCTGCAGACGTAGAGATGCCCTCAACCCACCCCACCCCCAGTGCCAGGACAGCACACGTTCACTGTGGGTGGGGGTGGGGGACAACTCCAGGCAGAGACTGCCTTCGGACCCAAGACGGCCTCCCAGAGCATGTGTCCCTGAAGCAGGGTCCACCCTGCAGCGCCACCTCCGTCAGGATCCCTCTGGTTCCAGCCCTTGTGACACTGGCCGAGAGGCAGCTAAGACAGAGGTCCAGAGCGTGGGCTTTGGGGTTCCACACGCCTGGGTGTGGTTTCCTCCTCTGGGTGTCTGACCTCCTCCTCACCTGATGGGAGCCTTCTTACCTACGGGGTCTTGTGATGATCACAGGAGATAATGCAAAGAAAGTGCTTTGTGCAGGGCCTGGCACAGAATGAGAACACACTAAATGTTAACTATCGTAATAACAAATACTATTTGTGGCTCAGATCCATACATCAGGAACACCTCCAACAACAAATTAGAGATTGCAAGGACCCCAGAGATCTTTCCTAAGCCTCTAGTTGTAGCGATGAGGAAAGTGAGATCTGTGGGGAGAGGAAGCAACTCACCCTAAGACCCGCAGGCAGAAATGGGACCACGAGTCCCGATTCCTCTATGGGTGTGGATCATTATGTCCTATCGCCAGCTCCTACGAGGGCCCTGCTGGGGCAGATGCCAACCCGCAGCACCCTCGAGCGGTGGGAACCCTGATGTCTGATTCACCGCGGCTCCTGCCCCCCAGCCCTGCCCCACCTGGAACAGAAGTGTCACTCAGGGGCTCTGGCCATTCAGTAGAGCCCCAGACACGACCCAGGCCCCCTCCCCCTTCTAGGTCTGTTCCCTTAAATGGGACAAAATGGTCTTTAGGAGTCTTGCAGTCTTAACATTCCACAGTTTCAAGAACTGCACTCAATTAGCCACAAACAAGTGGCTGGAAACCTCCATAAGTACCTTGGGAGGAACAGGCAGAGACCAAGAAAGCGCAGCCCTCCACCGGCCCTGGGGAGTTTTCCCCAGTTCATGGCGTACTAGGGTCTACTTAGTCTCAGTGGCTACTTCCCTGCCCTACAGACAAGCAGCGCGAGGTCTCCCGGTCAGGATCAGGGCTCAGAACAGAGGCGGAAGCATGCACTCCATGACAACCCACCAGCGTGGAACACAAGCCCAAACAAAGCGGTTTTGCCAAGAAAGGAGCCGTGCGCCGGGAGCCTGGAGGCCTGGGACCAGGCCCACGCTCCCCTCTGTGTCTCACTGGCGGGATGTGCTGCTCTGCGTTGTACAAGGAGGCCATCAGATGGCAGGCCGCACTCCCTGCTGAAACCTCACAGCCCCTCATCCTCCCCAGAGCACCCAGCAGCTGGGTTCGGGCCTGCATACGGTCTGCCCTCCGGCCCGAGGAGAAAGCAATACTGAATTGATTTGTCATCACGTCTTCCCAAGGCCAACCCCAGACCAAAGCAGAATAGGCTTTCGGAAGTGTCTAAGGGAGGAAGGGAAGAACGGAGAGAGGGAGGGAGGGAGGGAGGGAGGGAGGGAGGGAGGGAAGGCGAGAGGTTGGAGTCTTAAGTCCCTCCAGAACTAACATTCTATGAGTCCGTGCAGCTAGGTTCTAAGGCAATTCACCGTGGGTGTCTATTAGGTACAGCCACGCTCGTGGTGGTAACACCCTGCGGGGAGCAAAGGGAATGAACTTCAGATGTGAAATGCCACGTTAACCCCTTTTGGCCCAGGCACAGTTAACTTCCCAAAGCACAGGCGCTCCACAGCGTCCGTGTGCGTGAGGCCACCCGGCTGTGTAAAGTGCCAAGTCCTGCCTTCACAGCAGAAGCCTCAGTGATGCTGGTGTCGGAGGCCATGATGCACTCCCGTCTGCAAAGCTCATCGGTTGCATCTCAGTGCTTTCCAGCCCGGAGCCCACAGGTCAGAAACACAATGTAGCAGGATTCTGCAGGATTCTGGAGCATAAAGAGGAACAGATCTTATAAATAACTCCTGGTTAAAACAGAGCTGGAAATAAGGAGACAGGAGAGGAAGCAAATTGCTAAGCACGTATTGAGTCAATCACATTGGCTTGGAAACCTTAGTGCAAATGGCTGGTCCTTCTCATCAGAATATCAAACACAGGATTGAACCCGGAGGCACCAAGACTGTGCATGTGTGTGAGGATGTGTTTGAAAGGGTGTGGTTAAGACCCTGGACCCCCCTGAGCCACTCTGTCTTCACAGGAAGGTCTGGCTGCTGGGTTGCTCTGTAAGCTCTGAGATTCTAGACAGCGATTCACAGCTGAGGCCTCAGTATAAAACTCAGGAAGCCAAAAGTCTGAATTAAATCTCGACCATGCTCACACGTCCAGTCTCCCCCTTTTCCATTCCGTAGGGCCTTTCTTTAGCTGCGACAAGGCCACTACAGCCTGCACTCTCCCGAATGCTAAAATTGAGTGCAAATGTGCTTTAATCACTGGCAATCCTCAAGGCCCCTGATCTCGGGGTGTGGCCCAGCAGCATGCTACCTACGGGCAGGGTGGGGTCATAGGGCCCCGGCTGAGGCCAGGAGGCTTGGCACAGAGCTGACTGTGCCCGCGCCTCCCCCCCATCCCTGCCTCCTGGCCCACGCACTGCCCGGTGCAGGAAGGAGAGGAGGAGCGAGGTTCTGCTTGCCGGGGTGTCCGGCCAGCCTGTGCCGCCCTCAGCAGCAGGTGCAGGTGCCCGTGTGCACGCGGAGGATGCCTCGGCTGTGCAGGTGCAGGAAGTTGAAGATCTCAGAGGGCATGGCGTGGAAGCCGGGGCGGGGCTTGACGTTGTCATAGTAGTGGTGGGTGATGTAGAGGCCCGAGGGGTTCATGGGGAAGGCCCAGAAGCCGAACAGGTGCACCTCCTCGCAGAGCTCGAGCGCCGCGGTGGCCAGGATGAGGCCGGTGCTGATGCGCTTCGCGCGCACCCCCAGGCTGAGCCAGTAGCGCGACACGTTGACCAGGTATTGCGGGTGGAAGTAGTACACGGCCTGCGTCGACTCGAAGTCGTCCAGCACGTACTTGACGCGGATGGACACGTCGGTGTTGCGCGTGTTGTAGAAGGCGGGCAGCAGCACCGACGCGTTCTCGTACACCTGCAGCACCCGGTAGAAGGGCCGCCGCCACTTCTCCAACTTGTGGAACCTGGGCGGGGCCGGAGCAGAAGGGTGGTCGGCCCACTCCCCC